TCAAGGGAAATGTAATGATCGAAAAAATAGGTATAGATAATATATCCGACATCCTGCAAATCTCTTCATCATCATCATTATCATTATTCCCATGACCTTGTGTGGTCGTAGGACATCTGCGCAGCTAAGACCCTGTCCAGTACCCTCAATATAACTTGGTTGGAAACCGGAGAGATATTCATTCATGCGTAGCGTATCTTGGACAAGTAGACCTGACGGAGCTCATCCCTCTCCAGGTCAATCCACAGCCGATGTCATCAAACTCGAAGGCTCACCCTGGTTACGGACACGTGACCGTTGATTCCATCGCGATGTAGGAGGTGGAGGTTGGGGTCTGTCTTGGCTGTTGACTTTAGTCCAAGAAGACCCCCCCTCCCGCAGCTATACCACAATGGCTGGCTGTCTTGCTATGAGATCCAGTATACCCCAGTTCTGCTTGATAATCGTTGACCATCAAGAAAGTTCATACACCCGTTAACCGGTTTTGTTTCCTCACCAGAAAATCCTGATGAGGAAGAAACTTTTTTTTTTCACCATGAACCGACCATACACGGAACCAATAGCAGTCGTAGGGCGGCCTGACGTTCTATAGCTGCTGTTAACACGTCGTATTTGGCGTATATATTCTTCTATCTGACGAATTCCTGAGAATAAAGAAAATATTCTTTTCCCATGAAAGAACAACACTTAATTCCTACAAAGATTGATTTTTTTTATGGTTTAATAACCATTTTAATGTTTTTAAAGCCGAAACATATTTTTAGATTGTAATAATGTTTTTTTAAAACATAATAATTTTCTGGAACAAGTCTTACTGTTTAACCCATACCTGGAAGGAGAAGACGTGGATTCATACCATTCCCAAGAATACTTGCATGTAAGTGAAAATAACGAACCCCAGTAGAATTCGAACTCGGTTCTTCGATTTCCAATTTCGATCAGTTATCCATTAGTACTGCACATTCAAGCTTACAGCATCTGGTATTCCCACCGGGTCACACATCTAGGTATTGACTTGGATCAACGTTGCTTAACTTCGGCGATCGGACGAAAACCGGTGTTTCAATGTGATATGGCCGTGTAAGCATCCCTACAAAAAAAGATAATAATATCAGTGGACAAAAGAATATATATATATAGCCATTCGTATTCGAGGATACCCGTCTACTATGGCGGCTAGCCAATCCCTGTTGCAGGCACATTTGTGTTCAGAGCCCACCTGAGGTTTATACTGTAATTATGCTGAGTAGACCTTAGTTATAGTTTCTGGGAAACTATGTGTTATCTAGCGTGATCAACAATTTGAATAAGGTCAGCACGCTGAAACCATCGGTCACGATGACTTGTGATTTCGTGCCAGCAAAACTATCGATATCCCCAAGGGTTCCGTCTATCCAGTTTCACTCACAAGTCTTCGGTCAAACCGGGGTATGGTTTTCAGACACTTTCCAATGGTGCAGCATGCTGGGATCGACCCCTCCTGTTCGATAACCTCATGAACTCTCCTTCCTGACCAATCAACCAGGGTGTGATTCGAACCCAGGTCTTATGGTTAGAATTCGAACGTTCTAATCACTCGGCCACGTACCAATTGGAGAAAAGGTATATTGCTGTGGAAATGGACAGAAATAGAATTGTTAAAAAGCTCGAGTCTTTAATATTGCACGGATGTTACAAGAAGTTAAAAAATAATCTGTAAAAAGAATGTCTTTTTTTTTTACTTAGGAAAATGGTTTGCTTTGTTGTAACGTTTGAAATACGTATTAATGCTTTTCAAAGGTAGGGATGATAATCTGTGTATTTAATGAAATAAAGAAGAGCCATTTTGATTTTAACGAAACTCAAAAGAGTTATTTTGATTGTCGATGTGCTGCCATGTACAGAGGATTTTAAATATATTCAACAAGTTTTTGGGCGTGGGTGGCTTCAAGATTTTATGACAAGCAAAGGAGTTATTCTTTGTTTTGTACACAGTAACCGAACTCATTGCAAGCGAGAGCATTTCTCTGCATGACTATGCTTCATCCAATAGAAAAAGCAGACGACATTTTTTAGTTTTTTTTGTTTGTTTTTTTGGGGTTTTTTTTCTTCTTGGCATCGAATTTTGTATTCAATTCCGCGTTTGTAATTTCCGGTTGTCGTCTGATTATTCCATTTTTTTATAATGTTAGTTTATAAAGTTATGAATCAGTTCTCCACACATTAGTGATTAAGAGAATGTGGGGTTTCTTTTGTGCTTATTAATCTATAAAAAAATATGACAGTAAGCTTTTAGTAGCTAAAACTGTTTAATGCATACTTTTAGTTCTACAAACACCTCGACGCATGCGCAGACTCAGAGGCACATACAAAAACTAACATTGCTCACAAGTTGATAATGTTTTTTTCTGCACATCATGCGTTCGTGACCATGGATGGTTCGTGCCAATGTAAATTTGTAAGAAACTAAATGAATTAGAAAGAGATCGCCTAGTGGCAAAGATAGTTGCAGGCTGTCCAT